TGCTAGTCTGCTCAGCTCCACTCTTGCCCCCTCCAATCCAGGGTGATCTTTCAAAAATGGAAATCAGATCATGCTACTCCTACTGAGGATGGCTACGGCTCTCCTCACCACCAGTTCCAGCCCCATTGGCCTCTCTTCCCCTCACACTGTCCCCCCGGCTGCTCCTTCTCACCCCTCGGGTCTGCTTAAATGCCACTTCCTCCAGAAGCCTTCCCTGGCTGCTGTTTTAGCTCAGTGCGGAGGATTCAAGAGGGCTGCGAATCCTTTGACAGTCCTCCAGTGAGAGGAAGGCTTTATTTTCCCTCCCTTGAGCTAGAGCTGAGACCACTCTGATCAAGAGAATCTCGGCAGGGGCTGGAGGTGGGGTCCAAGAAGACTGCGGATTGCCCCCCTGCCACCTTGGTGCCCTGAGCTCCCACGATTGAAGTGAGGCCCTGGCCCCATGTGGAGAGGGAGGCAGCCCAGCTGAGCCCAGCCTTAACAGCTGTCTTCACCAAAGTACCAGGGAACGTGGGGGAAGCTGTCTTAGACCCTCCAACCCAGACCCTAGCAATTGTTCCATCCCAGCAATCATTGGATTCGTTTATTTGTTTTCTATGTTTGATTTGCATCTCTCTCCTCCACTAGGTGGTAAATTCCACCACAGCAGGAACCAAGTCTGTCTTGTTTGCCACTGTAAGCCAGGGCCAGGCACGTGGTAGGTGCTCGATAAATACCTACTGAATAAGCGAATCAACAAGTGCAGAATATTGTGGGCACACACAGGAAGGCACCGGGTCAGACTCAAGGAAGCTTTGCAGAGGAAGTGACATCTAAACGCTGAGGCCTAAAGAACAAGCAGGTGGCAGGGTTCAAAGAACAGGGCCTCGGGGACTGGGTGCCTGCCCCAAGCACACCACCTATGGACATCCCCCACGCCACGTGCTTGAGAGAGAGAGAGAGAGAGAGAGAGAGAGAGAGAGAGAGAGAGAGTCTCATTAACCTGTGTCTTCATCATGAAGCACGGTCTAAGAAAATAAGAGGTCCTCAATATACACATTTCAAATATGATGGCCCACATGACTTTTTGGAGAGAGATGCCTGAACTGGAAGCCAGGAGCCCTGGGTTTTCTCACTCAACAGCTCACGATGTGTCCTTTGTAAAATCCCAGTCAGCTTGCCTGGCACTCAGTTGGCTTGAGATTAAAACCACTGGCTCCCTCTCTGCATCCCTGGGTTGTCATCAGGATTGTAAGAGAGCAAAGACGTCAGAGTGCTTTGAAAAAAGTGTTAGAATAGAAATATGTGATGGTAGAAAAGACACATGTGATGATGTTGTTCTCTGAATGTTCAACCTGCCCCAGGTAAACCGTCAGGGCCACCAGCTGAGCCTTTCTTTGAATCAGGTGCCACGTGGAACTCAGTCTGGGTTAGTCTAGCCCAGACTCCTCCTGGGTACCTCCTGGGCAGCTGTAAATTTTTCAGCTGCCCAGGTGGAGAGGGAGCAGCTGGAGCCATAGAGAGACGGAGCCCATGGAGCAAAAGGAGGAGCACTGGACTTGGAGTCAAGAGATGTGAGTTCCTGTTATGGACTGAATGTTTGTGTTGCCCCAGAAGTCATATGTTGACACCCTACTCCCAATGTGATGGTGTTGGGACATGGGGCCTTTGGCAGGAAATTAGGATTAGATAAGGGCGAGAGGAAGGGAGCCCTCGTGATGGGATTAGTGCCCTTGTAAGAGTCTCTAGAGCTTGCTTCCTCTCTCTGTTCCTCTCACTGTGGGAGGACACAAGGAGAATCAGGTGTCCGCAAGCCACAGAAGGGCGTTCACCAGAACCTCACCACGCCGGCACCCTGATCTCAGGCTTCCGGCCTCCAGAAGTGTGAGGAAAAACATGTCTGTTTACAAGCCACCCAGTCCGTGGTACTTTGTTATAGAAGCCCAAGTGGACTAAGGCAGTGCCCATCCCAGTTTTGCCACTAATTTGCTGTGAGATCTCGGGCAAATTAATTCCCTCTCTGAACCAAATCTCTCAGCCATAGTGAACTTCATAGACCAAGTAAATCCCCTCCCTCCCTTTCTTCCTCCCTTCCTCCTGCTCACTCACGAAGGCCCCACCTCTGCCCCGAGGGGACCCAGTGCAGTAGGAATAAAATGACCAGACCCATACCCTGAGAGGGTACCTGGCAGATAGGTGGACCCTCTTAAATAAAGGATCTACAAGACAGCAGGACAAGGCTTCTCTGGACAGCCAGGACAGAGCACAGCACAGACCCTGTGCACTGAGCTCCAAAGAAGAGGCAGCCAGAGGTCAGGCTGGTTGGCCCTGGGGTCAAAGGGCAAGTCCAGGCATCCCCTGGAGACTCCTGCTTCCAAAAGCCATTGGGGACAATGCCAAAGCATTAGCCTCATGCAGAGGGCCTGCAGCAGCTGCACTGGCCAGGGCCACACCCTAATTAGACATTTTCAGTGTCCAGCGGCCTGCTTGGCCAGACTGCCAGCTGGGGCTCCTGTTCTGTCTGGTGGCCTCGGTTAATGAAGCCATGAGGGGCTGACTGAGCTCATTACAGGCAATGCAAGGGAACAGGGGATGCCCGCCCATGCTCCCCCAGTGCCCCGCCTCCCTCGTCTCCACCATGTTCACACCGAGAACGGGAAGAGAGCTGATTTCAAACCAAGAGGAAGGAGAGGGGCAGGAGCTGAGCTCCAGCCGGATCACACAGCCTGGATGGCTCCCATGACAGCCCAGCCAGAGACGTGGGTTTCTGCAGTGTGTCTGTGGTTTTAGGGGAGTGTTCAGAGTCCATGGCTGTTCTTAGACCACACGCAGGCCCTTTCTTATCTCAGGCCAAGGAGGCAGAATGAGAGCAAAGGTTCAAATCTGTCACTTTCCAATAATTGGCCCACAGACATGTTTGTACAAGCCAGTCAGTCAGAGCTTCGCTCTCCTCATCTCTAAGATGGGGTAGTAATACCCATCCAGCTCAGAGTAAGTACTCAGTTAATGTGCTCAATAAATCATCACTGTTGTTTTTTATTAAAAGACAGGCAAGAAAAGGCACCAAAATGTGAGCTTCTGAGTGGTGGGACTGAGAGTGATTTTTTTTTCTTCTACTTTTCTACATTTTCTAAATTGTATACAATGAGTATTTTACTTTTATCATTTAAAAAAGTGCACACTTTCTCCAAAAAAATATATCAGAAAAACGAGATTATGTATGAAAGGGCCCAGATAGTGCCTGGGAGGAAGTTTATTAATAGAAGCATCCTCCTGCAATGAAAGTTTGAATAGATGAGACTGGGTGGAAAAACATGCATGGTATTTGCAAAAGTGTAATACATTTTTGCCCTTTAATAAAGCAATTTCTTCTCCCCAGATGTCAAGGGAAGAAGGCACAAAAGTGAGTGTTCAAATGCTGAGGCACCGATTTAGGGAGATGTTGAGGGGAGCTTAAAAGAACAGCACTCCCTGGCTGGAGCAGAATGCAAAAGACAGAGAGAGCAAGGTGGACGCAACTAAAGAAAGGGTGGTCTATACACACAATGGAGTATCATTCAGCCTTAAAAAGGAAGGACATTCTGACATGTATACCCATGTGACAACATGGGTATACCTTACGGACATTAGGCAAAGTGGAATAAGCCAGTCACAAAAGGACAAATACTGTATGATTCCACTAATATGAGGTCCCTAGAGCAGTCAGACTCATAGAGATAGACAGTAGAATGGTGGGTGCCAGGGCAGGGGGAGAGGGAAATGGGGTATTATTTACAGGGTGCAGAGTTTCACACTTGTAAGATGAAGCAAGGGTTCTGGGGAAGGATGGGGGTGATGGTTGCACAACAGTGTGAATGTACTTAATGCCACACCCTGTACATTTTAAAATATTTAAGGGCTTCCCTGGTGGCACAGTGGTTGAGAGTCCGCCTGCCAATGCAGGGGACACGGGTTCGTGCCCCGGTCTGGGAAGACCCCACACGCCGCGGAGCGGCTGGGCCCGTGAGCCATGGCCGCTGAGCCTGCGCGTCCGGAGCCTGTGCTCCGCAACGGGAGAGGCCACAGCAGTGAGAGGCCCGCGTACAGCAAAAAATATATATATATATATTTAAGATGGTAAACTTTATGTTATGTGTATTTTACCACAATTTAAAGCTACGTAGAGAGAAAAAAAGAGATGGAACCCAGGGGAAAGAAGAACGGGGCAGGCAGGATGAAACAAGTCTCTGGTCTCCTGGGGTTGAGGGCCATTCACTGGAGAGATGACCCACAGGGGAGGGGGACCTCCAGGGATTACGGTGGAGGGGGAGACAGGTGTAGGAGGACGCATCCCGGTGAGGTCGTGGCTCCTGCCCACACTTGGCGGCTGGCCCCGCGGGTTCTGAGCTAGGGGCATTTGCAGCTGGAGAACTCAGCCAGGGACGTGCCCAAGAGGACCAAGCCTCCCTCCCTCCTCGAAATCAGAGCTTGGGGTATGAGAAATTAGGCCCTGGAGGGTGTGTGTAGGTAAATAAGCAACTAAGGCAGCAACTAAGCCTGGCACCGTCCTCCAGGGGAGGAAGGAAGAGGAATGCTTTGAGCGTCTGTTTCACAGGGAAGAAATTCTGAGGCCATTGTGCTGAAGGAATGCAGACATGGGCTGGCTCACCCCCAGATAAAAGAGAACTGGGCAGAGTCAGGATGTCCTGAAAGGAGGTAGGCTGTCACCTTGGCCCAAATGGAAGCCAGCGCAGAGCCTGCTGCTTGGTGGGATAATCACAACGGAACAATTTATTGAGCACTTAACTCTCTGTGACAAGCACTTCTCTTGGGTCCCTTGTGTATTCCCTTCAGCATCTTTATGGGTAGCAACTATTTCTAGCTTCACTTTATGCTGAGGAAGACTGAGGCTTGGAGTTGGAAATTACCTGCAGACCCCGGGCCCTAGAGGCACACCACTTGCCCCCAGTGAGTCCTTGCCTCATTTCTGCTTCAGCCCCAGCACTGCCTCCCGCCGCCCCAGACCCCTGGCCCCTTCTCACTTGAACTGGTGCTCCCGCGAGCTGCGGATCTTAGAGGAGAAGCGCTCAGCCAGTTTCTCCAGGCTGCGAGAGTACTCAAGCTCGATCTCGGCTTTCCGGCGGAAAAACTCCTGGAGGTCCTGGAGCAGCTGCAGCCTCGACTCAGACTGCTGCTCCAAGCACTTGAACTGCTCCACCAGCTGCGTGCGGATCTCTGCGGACAGAGGCAGGAGCAGGCTGTTAGGCGATGGTGGGGAGAGCAGAGGGACCCACCCAGTCGACCCAATGCCAGTGGCCCAGGCACTGCAATTCCAGCTGCCCCCTCCCTACCATCTGCCACCCAGAGCCTCTCCAGGCATTGGCAGGACTATTTGGCAAATGCCAGTTTTTGCCATGGTGTAACCCAGTGTTTTCCAAAGTTGAATCATTGCACGTCACCACCACGATTTTTGCCATATCCACACACGACCAGCATTATTATTTCTTCCGTATGATCTAGTAAATTCGCTCATTTTTCTTACTGGAAAGAACTTGCAGTTTTATGTCATTATGACGAGTGTAAAACTAGAACGACTTGCCATCCTGATACATAGAAAATTTATTCAACAAAAACAGAAATTGTGTAAAATTCTCTCTAAAGACTACTGCTATCAAACGCCCTAAGCCTAAACTGCTCAATCTCCATCAACAAGAGGAATACGGGAGCGTGAGAGGAGTTAAAGACAGACTTTCTCCAGGTATAGTCAGGACTGAGCGAGGGCTGAGCATTTCAGGGTTAGTCACTCTTAGGTTTCAGGGTTATTTAAGACCATGCCTGTGTTCTACTCTGAATCACCTTGAATTCCATGCATCAACATCTCAGGTATGTAGCCCAGACTTCAGGAAATCCTGACAGAGCAAACCAGGTCTGTGCAACCAGGGCAAAAGTTCATAAGCAGGGGCTAAAGATAAAAATCACAGCCAGGGCTTCCCTGGTGGCGCAGTGGTTGAGAGTCCGCCTGCTGATGCAGGAGACGCGGGTTCGTGCCCAGGTCCGGGAAGATCCCACATGCGGAGCAGCTGGGCCCGTGAGCCATGGCCGCTGAGTCTGCGCGTCCGGAGCCTGTGCTCCGCCACGGGAGAGGCCACAACAGTGAGAGGCCCACGTATCACAAAAAGAAAAATAAATAAATAAAAATCCTTGATTAAGCATTAAAATGTATTAATTTTTTTAAAAAATCACAGCCAGATCCCAGTGGTTTTGCCACTGCTGCCATCTCCATGCATTAACCCCTTCCCTGCCATCCCATGAGCTGCCATCCCATGCCATCCCATGAGCCATCCCATGAGCTGCTCAAGAGATCAGTCTCCCCACACTATGCTCACACCAGCTCCCTGCTCAAAACTGCCCAAGGCACCCCCCCTCTGGCTGAGTATTAAGTCCAACTCCTTAGCACAGAATTCAAGGCCACCCATTGCCTGGCCCCAAACTTCACTTCTCTGGATTTACCCCCAGTGGACTCTCCAAGTAATCCAAACCAGTCCCTGAGATGTCCAATTCCTCCTGCAGAAATGGGCCTCCTGTCTGAAAAGGTGGCCAGCACCATCTTAGCATCCTTTGGAGAAATGGTCTTCAAAGGGGGCAGCCCAACTCTGGGGCACTCGAAGCCTTCCCAAGGGGTGCACAGGCAGGAAGTGTTACAAAGGAATCGGTTTGAGATCCTGTTTCCATTCCCACTCTTTCCTCCTCTGCCTGAGAATGTGCCTCAGCATCTCTCCTTTCCCACCTCACTCTTTACAACCGTCCTCTCTCTTTGCAGAAGAAAGACCAACTTCTCCGTCGTCCAGAATCTGGCTATGGTGCAGTGCCCCAAAGTGTCAAGACAGACTTTGAGGATGATTTAGAATGTTGGTGCTCGCAAATCTTCTTTAACCTAGTTCATAAATCCTTGCTCCTCAAAGTGTGGTCCATGGACCAGTAGCATTAGCATCACCCATAGACTTATTAGAAACACAGAACCTCAGGTCCCAACCCAGACCTTCTGAATCACAATCTGATTTTAACAAGATCCCTGGATGGTCCTTATGCACCTTAAAGCCATCAACCATCCATCCATATCATTATGAGAACTATTTCCCATACTATCTTACTTTTTATTTTTAGTAATTATTTATCAAATTATAAAACATTGATATTATTTTGATGAACTGTATGATAAATCAATCTGAACTAGAGATACTTAGGGTTTTATGGCCAAAGGAAATTTTTTAAAGGTCCATTTCAATTTACATACATATTTTGGGTCAGAAGAATAAAGCAATCAATAAAAAAGTTCAGGGACTTCTCTGGTGGTCCACTGGAAAAGAATCTGCCTTACAATGCAGGGGACGCAGGTTCGATCCCTGGTCAGGGAATTAAGATCCCGCATGTCGCGGGGCAACTAAGCCTGTGTGCCACAACTACTGAGCTCGTGGGCCTCAAAGAGAGAGCCCACGTGCCTCAACTAAGACCTGACACAGCCAAAAAATAAATAAAATAAATAAATAATAAGTAAAAAAATGAAAAAGTTCAAGCATAAAAATATATTACAATAAAATTCTGTGAAGGAAGTAGAAGGAAATTATGAGTTCAAGAAGGTAAAGACAGGGACAATGTAAATGTAAAATTTCTGCCTTGTATAGGTAATTTTTGATCAGTGGTGTTGGACACCAATGTATTGTGGTATTTATCTTACCACCTGGTAATTCCACTCATGGCTCATACTCCAAAGAAATCAGTGTTTATGTCTACAAAAAAATATGGAAAAATACTCATAGACGATTTATAGCTAAATATTAGAAACAACCCAAAATGTCCATTAAGAGTAGATAAGACGTTTTTTTCAGTAGGGCAATTTATTTCAAAAGGCTTGTCACTCTTAAAATAGTAAAGTAAATTTATGCAAAGCGTAGGTAAGATTTTTAAAATATGAGATATTCATTCAATGGAATACTATACGATAAGGAAAAAATGAACTACTACTTGCTACCTGCTTAACTCTCCTTATGTTGATGGCAAGAAGGAAGAAAAAATGAGATCATGCAAAAATAGTTTACGGTGATAGAGGTCAGAGAAATGATCACCTTTGGGGGATACTGACTGAGAGGGGATGCGAGGGTACGTTCTGGAATGCTGGAGACAGAAGATCAAGGTTACACCTTGATCTGGGTGGTAGGCACGCTGGTAAAAATGAACTGAGCTGCACACTTAAGATCTGGGCATCCTACTGTTTATATGTGATACTTCAACAAAAAGGCAAACTAAAAATTGCTGTTATTTAGTTTCCATTTGAAACATTTAAGGGAGTAGGGTAATTTTGCTCTAAGAGGTCAATATTTACAACATGGCAGAAATGACATCCTTTGTAACTATTTAAACTTCTAATGAAACATTTCAGATGTCAAGTTAAAATATGTGGGGCAAAAGAGATTTTTTCCCCCCAAAGTTCATTTAGAGGGTAGGCAAGCAAAAAAATGTTAAAACCAGTGCTTTAGAGCCCAAGCTCGGCTCCTCCCAGGAAGTCCTGGACAGCTCAGCCCTCATGACCCTCCTATGAACTCCCTTGGTACTTGCAATTAGTCTCAGACCACCTCGTGCTATTTTTTTAATTCTTCACGTATGTGCGTCATATCGCCTTAGCTCCCCGAATGAAATTTAAGTTGTAACAGTGGATTCTCCCAGCACACATGGTATATCAGTATCTGTATGGCAAATTACTATTTGCCTTTACCAAGTGCTTTTACCCAAGGACATCAAATGCTGTGATTATGGGAATCTCACCCAACACACACACACACACACACACACACACACACACACACACCCCACACACAAACACCATACACACACCACACATACACCAGACACACATACAACACATGCCACACACTCACACAAAACGCACACACCACACTCACATACCATGCACGCATTTACACACACCACACACAACCCACCACAGATACACACACCATACACAAACCACATACATATACCACACAAACTCACATACCACACATACACCACAACCACCACACACACACTACAGACACACCACATACCACACACACACCACACATGTCCACATGCACACTCACACACACACACCACACATACACTATTCCCACACCAGACATGGATATTATTATTATCCATTTTTACAGATGAAGAAACCAAGGCTTCTGTGTGAACCAATCAGGAACTTGTCCAAGGTCACATTTTGTTCTATGAACTGTAACAATCTACACAGGCACTCCTTGACACAGACTACTTGTTAAATTGGATTGAGATGCCTTCACTCACACAAGTGCAAACCCTGCCATATCAACACATAGTTACAAAAATGCTTTCTAAATGTTTTTTTAAAGATTTTTTTTATGGGAACCATTTTTAAAGTTTTTACTGAATTTGTTACAATATTGCTTCTGTTTTTATGTTTTGGTTTTTTGGCCCGGAGGCATGTGGGATCTTAATTCCCCAACCAGGGATCAAACCCGCACCCACTGCATTGGAAGGCGAAGTCTTAACCACTGGACCACCAGAGAAATCCCTAAATATATGCGGGCCTCTCACTGTTGTGGCCTCTGCCGTTGCGGAGCACAGGCTCCGGACGCGCAGGCTCAGCGGCCATGGCTCACGGGCCCAGCCGCTCCGCGGCATGTGGGATCTTCCCAGACCGGGGCACGAACTCGCGTCCCCTGCATTGGCAGGTTGACTCTCAACCACTGCGCCACCAAGGAAGCCCCCTAAGTATTTTTTAAATTACTTGTAGACTATTTAGGACTCATAATAACCTTAATAATTATTGTGAGCACTTACAGAGCACATCATGTGTTCCACGCCTGATGCTGAGTTCTTTGGATATTTATCTCACAGAATCTGTATAGCACCCCCTCTAAGGTGGGTGCTACTAGCATTCCCCCACTTTTTCCCCATAGGTGAGGAAGTGGAGGCTCAGAGGTAAGCAGCCTCTGGTCATAACAGCTGGTACGTGGCAATTAAGCTAAAAATCAAGCCCAGCTCCTTCAGATGGGAGCAACTCCTCAGTGAACTGAGGCCATACTACTTTCTTTAAAAGACTTGAATCTAACTTCTTGTGTTCAATACACAAGAAGTTGTGTATTCAACTTCTTGTATCCTTTTTGTAACAAGACGGTGGGCTAAAGAGATATTATTTATCAAAAATGCTGCAGGCA